GGCAGAGCCGTTGCTTGGCGTGCAGAAGGTCCCAGGCTCAATCCCCGGCATCTCCAGTTCACAAGGACCAGGCAGGAGGTGACGGGGAAAAGACCTCCGCCTGAGTCCCTGGAGAGCTGTTGCCGTTCTGAGTAGACAATACCTACCTTGATGGACCGAGGGTCTGATTCATTATAAGGCAGGAGAGGGGCTTTGGCTCAGTGTCAGAGCATCTGCTTGGCGTGCAGAAGGTCCCGCGTTCCATCCCTGCCATCTCCAGTTAAAAAGGACCAGGCAGGAGGGGATGGGAAAGACCTCAGCCTGAGACCCTGGAGAGCTGTAAAGAGGGGCTGTGGCTCAGTGGCAGAGCCTCTGCTTGGCATGCAGAAGGTCCCAGGTTCAATCCCAGGCATCTCCAGTTAAAAAGGACCAGGCAGGAGGTGATGGGAAAGACCTCTGCCTGAGACCCTGGAGAGCGGCTGCCATTCTGAGTAGACAGTACCGACCCTGATGGACCGATGGTCTGATTCAGTAGAAGGCAGCTTCATGTTCACGGCCAGTCCGCTTTGGACGGTTCTCCCTCGAGGGTGCCGTGGACCCTCAAGGTCTTCTGTTCTTCCTGCGCTCCCTCTTCTTTCCTCCTGCTTCCCTTTCTCTCTCTGCTTGTCGCCAAGCGCACTCCCCGGCCAGCAGCCTCTGTGCAGAACCGCCTGTTTCCTTCCCATTCTTGTCCACGTTCTAACGTGAATCGTAAGCGGTGATGCCACTGGCAACCCCGTGGCCTTGGAAAGATGGGGTTGGGTCCAGAGTCGAGGTTCCACTCACGCGAGTCCCCTTTTGTCACAAACCACAAAATGGCTGCCGCAGGGGGCGTGGCCACCCACAAAATGTCAGAGAGCAAGTGTGTTATTTATTGTTATTTACTTATTTTATTGGGCTTGTATCCCGCCCTACCGCACAAGTGGGGTATATACAAGAGGAGCTCCTCCATATTTCAGGGCAGAAGCCGTGTCCAACAGGATGCCTCTTAACCTGTACAGCCAATCAGAAGGCTTTACAATCCATCAGGCGGTCAGAATCAGAAGCCAATCAGAAGCCTGCCCCACCTGTGTGTCCAAAGCACTTCCTGGGCACCAGGAATGGTGTTGGCTAGGGTTGCCAGATGTCTCCCCTTCCCCCAGTGGGGTAGAATGCCACAGAGTCCACCCTCCAAGCAGGGGTGTCAAACTCATTTGTTACGAGGGCCGGATCTGACATAAATGAGACCTTGTTGGGCCGGGCCACGTGTGTCATAAAATGTAATTAGTTAAACAAGTATAAAGCCAACAGTTGTGATAGTCTGACCCACAATCAAACAGTCATAAGAGTTATAAAGAATGCTGTTTATGTATTGCAATCTAAAGCACTATAACATGATACACAACGACGTCTCCGGATTACATAACAACATTTCAAAAAATGGATCTTCTTCAGGAGATATTATAGTGGTGCCAAAGCTCTCAGTTTCATAAATGTTAGACAAGAGGTCTTAAGAATATTAAATTCAGATAGGACGCTGATCTCAATTAACATTCAGGCTCAAAATATGCTGCTATGTTTCTACTGGATCCTGGGCGTCTGTCTCTTTATACTTTATACTTGTTTAACTGATTGGGTCGTGTGTGTCCAGATTTTTTTTGTAACATTATGACCCATCATAAAATGTAATGCCAGGTGGCGGAGATAGAAACTTCATAAAGGACACAAACACAAAGGGTTTTTTTTTTTAACTTAAAACAAGAACATGCTTAAAACACTAGCACTCTTGCAATATTTTGTTTGTTTAACAGTGTCCGATCACTGACACCTCCTGCTCTGAATTACTGCATCCAAATGCCTGTGCCGTTGCACTCATTGAGTATGCTGTTCAGGGGTGTATCTGTAAGCTGCAGACCTACGATGACACAGCAGCAGCAGAACTGGAAGAAGACGCAGAAGACAGCCAGTTCCACTGCGGGCCTGATAGAAGCCCTCTGGGGGGGCCTGATCCGGCCCCTGGGCTGCATGTTTGACACCCCTGCTCCAAACCATCTGTTTTCTCCAGGGGAACTTATCTGTATAGTCTGGAGATAGAGCTGTAATTCCGGGGGATTCCCCAGGTCCCTCCTGGAGGCTGGCATCCCTGGTTGTTGGCGGGCACCGTGGCAGCCAGGGGCACCGTGTCGGGGATCCCTGCAATGGTCACTCAGGAGGGGCGGCAGGGCTTGATTCGAATGTTGTGCCGGCAAGGCAAAAAAAGGTCTTCTCCCAGGCAATGCTGTGGAGTCTTCTGAGCAACAATCCTACTTTGTGAGCTACTGACATGAAAGTTGTGAGTGAGCGATTTGGCTGCTGCATCAATCAATTTCCTCGAGCCCTCCTCCCTGAGCTGAGACAGAAACGCGTGAGCCGGAGGCTAAGAAACTGTGAGCCGGCTCACACAAGCTCAGCTTAGAGGGAGCACTGCTCCCAGGGGACTCCGCACTGGCACGGCACCTCGTTCGAACCGGGCTCTTCCCTGTGCAAGACAGCTATGCCACACACTTGACTGGTTTTGCCCAGATAGCACTCCGGGTGAAGCAAGACACCACATGAGCGCCAAGGTCCCATAGGCGAGCCTTCGTCTCACCATCATCGCTTTTCCACCATGTTTAGGCAGATGCTCTTGCGCAGGGGTCATTGCGTAGAAAAAGAGGTGCAGGAGCTCATTAGCATAACTCATTAGCATAACTTATTTGCATATGCCACACCCCCGGACTTCACCGGAAGTGTGTCAGAAGGCAACACCCACTGGTCAGGCTCCTCTGGACTGTTTTGGATTGCTAGCTGTGGGGGGGGG